CTGTGTTCAGGAGCAGGTTGTTGTCAGTGCACCACGATGTCAGCCGCGCCACTTCGTGCCTGTAAGCAGACTCCTCTCCCCCAGAAATGAGCCCCACCACAGTGGTCTCATCTGCAAATTTGACAAAGGTGTTGCTGTTGTGGGCGGGAGCACAGTCGTGTGTGTACAACGTGAAGAGCAGGGGGCTCAGCACGCAGCCCTGGGGGGAGCCAGTGCTGACAGTGATTGCTGAGGAGATATGGGGGCCCACCCTAACCCTTTGTTTACGGTCTGTCAGGAAGTCCTTAATCCACAGACAGGTGGAGAAGGGGAGTCCCAGGTGTAACAATTTGCACACCAGTCTGTGGGGGAGGATGGTGTTAAAAGCAGAGCTAAAGTCAATAAAGAGGAGACATGCGTAGTTCCCCTGATGATCCAGATGGGACAGGGTAGCATGAAGAGCAACAGCTACCGCATCCTCCGTAGACCTATTTGCTCTGTAGGCATCAAAGGTGGGAGGGATAAAGGACATGATATGACTCCGGACCAGTCTTTCAAAGCACTTCATCAGGACTGGGGTGAGCGCTACTGGCCGGTAGTCATTCAGGCAGGTTACGGATGATTCTTTTGGTAAGGGGACTATGGTTGAGGATTTCAGACAGGGTGGAACTGAGGCCTGGGACAGTGACAAGTTGAAGATCTTTGTGAAGACCCCAGCTAGTTGTTCTGCACAGTTCCTCAGCACACGTCCAGGTACGCCGTCAGGGCCTGCTGCCTTCCTGAGGTTGACAGCGTGGAGCGAGCGTCTCACCTCCTGTTCCTGCACCCTGAAGGTGGGGGTGATGTTGTTGCGAGCCGCTGTTGCTGCCTTTGCAGCCGCTGTATCTGGTGGCTGCTCCTCAAAGCGGGCAAAGAATCGGTTCAGCTCCTCTGCCCTTGAGGCGTCACCATCAACAACTCCCTGACTTGTCCTCTAGTTGGTAATGTGCTGGACTCCCTGCCAGACCTGCCTGCTGTTGTTACTGTCCAGGTGCTCCTCAATCCTCCTCCTGTAGTCCCTCTTAGCCTTCTTGATGCCTCTCCTCAGGTTGGTGCGTGCCGTGCTGTAAATTGCCTTATCGCCAGACCTGAAGGCAGTGTTTCTCTCCTTTAGCAGCCGCTGGACCTCTCTTGTCATCCAGGGCTTCTGGTTAGGATAGACTTGGATGCGTTTCTCCACTGTGACGGTGTCCATGCAGGTCCTGATATAGCACAGTACACTGTCTGTGAAGAGTTCCAGGTCAGGTTGTACAAAAATGTCCCAGTTAGTCCTGTCAAAGCAGTCCTGCAGCTGCAGAGTGGCATCACCAGGCCACGTTGTGATGGACCTCATTAAGGTTGGAGCAGATTTCCTGAGGGGGGTGTATGTAGGAATCAGCAGCAGTGACAAACGGTCAGACTGAGCCAGGTGAGGAAGCTGTTTAGCTCTATAGCCCAGCTTAATCCCACGCCCGGGTTTTCTGCGACCGCCCGAGCCGCGTTCCGTCTGGCCTGCCGGTACCCGTCAGCTGCCTCCGGAGATCCCCGGGCTAATAATTCCCAGTAAGCCTCCTTCTTCAGCTTCACGGCCCCCCTCACCTCTGGTGTCCACCATCGGGTACGGGGGTTACCGCCACGACAGGCACCGACCACCCTGCAGCCACAGCTCCGTACGGCCGCTTCCACAATGGAGGTCTGGAACAAGGTCCATTCAGACTCAATGTCCCCTATCTCCCCCGGTATGCAGTTGGAATTCTGCCGGAGGTGCGAGTTAAAGCTCCGGCGAACAGGAGCCTCTGCCAGACGTTCCCAGCAGACCCTCACTATGCGCTTGGGCCTACCAGGTCTGACCAGCTTCCAGACCCCACGCTATGTGTTGAGGTGAGCCCGACTATATCTAGTCGGTATCTCTCAACCTCACACACAAGCTCAAGCTCCTTCCCCACCAGAGAGGTGATATTCCATGTCCCAAAAGCCAGTTTTGTCAGCTGGGGATCGGACCACCAGGGCCTCCCTTGGCTGCCACCCGATCCACAAAGCACCGAACCCCTGACATTCCCCTTGCGGGTGGTGGGCCCACCTGGGGACAGTCCCGCATGCCTCTTTCGGGCTGGGCCCGGCCGGGCCCCACGGGCCAAGGCCCGGCCAACAGATGCTCGCCAACGGGCCCCTCCCCCAGGCCTGGCTCCAGGGTGGGGCCCCGGTGACCCTAGTCCGAGCGAAGGAAATGAGACCTTGATAGAATTCTTTGTCATGGGGGTTTTTTTTGGATTGCTCTTTGTCTGGCCCCTCCCCTGGGACCTTTTTGCCGTGGGAGACCCTAGCAGGGGCTATTGCCCCCGACAACATAGCCCCCAGGGTCACTGAGACACGCAAACCCCTCCACCACGATAAGGTGGCAATCCAAGGAGGAAAAAAAAAAACACACACATTAATACCACGGAAACATTTCCATTCATCCATCCATTTTCTATACCCGCTTGTCATCTGCAGGGTTGTGGGGGAAATATTTCTTATAACGATATTTAAAACATGGCTTAAAACATGGATTAAAAATGGATCAAAATTTAAGTATGCAGGTGTATTATATTAATAATAATACTTTGCTAATCTACAAACACGATATCTGAACACAATGCAAACTTTCTTATGATGTAGTCCGGTACACAAAGTCCCCTGTAGTGACGGAATTCAGAGGACGTGGCAGGGTACCCACACAGTGAGCTCGCACTTATTTTGCACAAAAGGTCAGCAGTATGATTCAGTGGAATAACGCTTAATAAGCTCCATTACCAGACGTAAGGTTGAGCTAGGGGGGCTGGCGGTGCCCATCTGTTATCAAGGTGCCCTACTGTATGTAGGCAGTGGTGACCTAAGTGCCCTTGTAATTGAACGATTGCTGGTGTGAATCCTCAACCAGCAAGGCACTACTGAGGTACCCTGAGCAACATACCACCCATGTCACATATGGGTCACATGCAGAGGACACATTTCATTGTGGTGTCATCAGTGATCTCTAAATACAGGTACGAGAACTGCAGATGGAGAATCACACGCTGAAAATGGCTGAGGAAAGGCTGTATGTAAAAACAAACATGTCATTTGTGTGGCTTTTTAGTTTTAACTCATTCACTGCTTTTAGACTTCTGTTGCTCAACTGATTCTTTTTTTTATTATTGCTCAACAACCGAACTGAATTGACTAACAGCCATAATCGGAAAGACTGCTCTTTTGAGCAAACATTCAGTGGGAACACAATTTCTCCATTTCTGGCCGCTGCAAACCACAGTTTCCATTTCATGTTTCTGTGTATCAGTCTCAGGCTCACCTCGCTATGGCACTTTTGCAGAGTATCTGCTGAACTGAACGATTGCAACACTCGTAACCACAAAAAAAAAACAGTGCTTGCTTCTGTATTTCAGATAAGCTCTCTTCGTATTTTTTATTTTATATATTTCTAAAAAATGAGCGGTGAGATTCTGCAGTATGCACCCAAATTTTTCATCAGTGTGAAACAATTGTTTTTAAAGAAAATCCCAAGTGAGTTAAAAAAAAAAACCACAACACTAAATGGGTATCAGTAATCACATGAAGTAGTAAAGAGAAAAAAATATCAGAAGAAATAATTTAGCAGTTTGTATGACATGCTCTATATTGTGCTTCACTATAAATAAAGAAGAAAAAAGGCTTTAGTGGCTTCATGTTTCACCTAAAGCCCTTTTCATTTTTCATGCCTGAAAAATTAGACAAGTTTGAAAGAGAGAGGACCATTTACATGGCATTTTAAAGTTCCACGGGTAACTGAAATAGTATTTTAGTATTTAAATATGAAAGGCCAGTATTCATCCAGCATCTGTTTTTGAGGGGAATGACAGTCAAGATGTTTTATATAGGAATAACTCTGTAACCCCGTGCTATTTAAGTTGTACTAGAACGGATACTATTAATGATGTACTAACATAATGCAACAATAATAATAATAATATTAGATGCTTTGTTTAATAAGTTTTGTGGAATTTATTTGCTTTATCATACTATTACATTAAATTATGTAAATATTTACCTTTGTGATAACCATTCATGAAAAAAGCAAAGACACTGAGATTTTGGGATGCTGGTGTGTGCATCGGAAACAGTCCTTTGAGAGTGAAACAACCCGAACAGACTGCTGGAAAAAGAGCCTTTATTCATATGAAGGTATGACACATGATTTTTATACAGTGAGAATCACAGATCAACCATGTCAATTAATACAGTCACCTGCAGAATTATTGGCAACCCTCAAAAAAAAGGGAGCGGGGATTAAAACAATAAAATGAACAATGCATATAAAAATTTATGCATATAACCATAGAAGACTCAAAACATGTAAAAAAAAAAAATTAGAAATTGCTTGTCATTTAATCTTTCAATTATTTTTGGTGCAAAATTATTGGCACCAAATAAAATATCCCAAGTAACTCCAAGGAAATTTGAATGAATGAATGAATAAATTAATGAAAGTTACATATATATATATATATATATATCACACTTCTCAAACACCTAAAGTGCTTTACGGAAGCAATGGGAAGCCACTTTACCCACAACTACTGTGTAGCCCCCACCTGGGTGATGTGACAGCAGCCATTCTGCACCAGTACGCTCATCACACAGTAGCTAAGGTGGGGAAGGGGCAGGAGAGGATTCACCAATTAAATTTAAATTTGCATCGAAGGTGAAAAAATTTATTTATATTGCTCCTGTTGCACAAGATATCATTTGTTGTCTATGACCATTTCCTGTTTCCCTGGGGTGCGTATATGACATCACACATATGCAAAGTCCCTTCATCATTCACCAGCAGAGATCAAAGGTTGTTAACTTTTACAAATTAGGTAACAACTGTGGAAAGTTTGAGGAATTGTTAAAAAATATATTGTTAACCACAAAATTTATAAGCATGGAACAGCTGAAAATTTGCCTGGAAAAGGATGCATCACCATACTGCCCCCACACACAGTGAGATTTTTGTGAGAGAGGTTAAAAGAACCTAAAATCACAGCTTTTGGACAGCACAGTTTGCTGGAATCTTGGGGCTGTGATATTTCAGAATTTACTGTCAGACATTGCCTGCATCATTAAAAGCTTCTTGGAAGAGTTTCCCAAAAGAAGACATTCCTAACACTGAAACCATTAAATGCAGCTCCTGAAGTTTGCCAGATATCATTGTATTTACAATTTGCATTGTGGAGTTGTCACATGAAATTAGACTGAACTACTTGGTCATGCACACCACCAACATGCTTGACAAATGAATGCGCTGCATGCAAACAATAGCAGCTGGTTCCCACTGTCACATACTATGGCAGATACTATGGGACTGCTTTGCTACAAGCAGCCCAGGGGCTCTAGTGAAGATCATTTTAGGCAAAAACCTATCTGCCTCTAACAGAAGGTGGAAACTAGGCTGTGCGTGGACATTTTAGCAACACATTGTAATCAACACAGAGATGGTTGCAAGAACACAAATTCATGGATTTGCAATGGGCAACTCACGCTCCAGATTTGAATTTCCCAAATGAGATCCTGTAGTTTGAGTTGAAGAGTAGCATCCACCAGCATAAACCCAAAAATATCAAAGGAACTGGAGTAATACTGTATGAAGCAATGGTCCAAGATCCCTCCATAAAAACTGCATTACTAAATAATAATCTGTTTGAAAAAAACTAAATTGTGTTAAGATAAAACAGGGCTTGCACCATCGTTGAAGCACAAAATATTACTTATTGCATTTGTGGTTCATCTCATACAGTATATTAATGTTTAACTTGTCTTCAGGGGGTTGCCAATAACTCTGGAACTGGCTGTACAAGCTTTATAGCTACAGGGCAGCTTCTGCAAAGAGAATATTTTTGCATAAAGTATCACGGCTAAACCCACAAAGATCCGGTAAAGCTGTGGTTATGACCCCACCTGTGCTTTGCACGCATCCCCTTTGAGTTTCTTCTCTACTACCTCCATCTCCGGCATGGTCATAGGATTCATTGGTTCTGTAGTTTGCATTTTCCACATTGCAGTTTAGCTGTTTCCACATGTCCCAAGGAGCAATAAGACTACATGCTTGGGGCTGCTGTGTTGGTGAGGGTGGGGGGGGGGGGGGGGTGATGTGGAAATATTTACTGAATTTATTTACTTAAATTGAACTTAAGGGTGTCGGGCTATTTAGTGCTATTGATGGCAGTAGGTTAAAGTGCATTTGCATTATCATGCTTGAATCTTTAACAGGTATTTGCTGGTTTCTTCTCAACACACCCCACGTCACTCAACAGAGCTAGACGGTGCAAACAGCATGAGATCATCCCCAAGAATGGATGAGGATTTATAATTAGTCGCTATACGTGGCACTTTTCCCCACATTGGCTTCAGCCATTACTCTGTTTGAGCTAATTAAGAATAAAGACCTGTGGATCCTCACCTAAATACTTTGAAATGTTGTCCAAATTTTGTGTATGACCATTACAATCATATAGCAGCTAATTGTATTGTTTTATGCCCATGTTTAAATACTGAGGCATTCAGAGGCAGAAGAAACCCCATAAAACCTTCAAATGTTCAACTTGTATCTGTCCTGACTGTTGCATTGGAAATAATACATCGCAACTTTCAAACTTCTAAAGTCAGATTATTTGTGAAGGTCAAATTAGTATTCTGATGAGACTGTGGTGTAAACCAGCCACCTTTTGCCTTAGCTAGCTTTACCCTGAGCCTTTTTACCCAGGTATAGACAGACCGACCACTGTCTAACAATCACAGATAACCCCAAGCAAACTGCAGAGCTTCTACCAGGTTGTTCAGGTCCTTCAGGAGGAAGCTCCCTCTGTTACGTGTCAACGTTGTTCTGCACAATGAAGTAATCGATGGACTCGTATAGCTGAACTGGACACTGCAGAGGAGGGAAAGGTAAAGAGTTGTTAGTCAACAACCGAGCACTCACTACCTCCCAGGTCTGTAACCACCAATGCAGTCAGCCTGCCCAGAAAACCACACTTCTGCTACATATGTACAGTGTCAGTTGAAAACAAGTTGATGACCTACTTCTGTCCAGTATGTTGAAATAGAAAAACAGCAGTGATATTTATTTATTATACTTATCTCTAAATATTTATTTCTGTAGTATCGCAATTTTCTGTTTTTTTTTCCCCCCCAAGATATTTAATTTATGTACTGTGTGCTCTTTAAATTCATTTGCACTGCATTTACTTATTTGCACTGTCTTTGTGGCTTGTACGTTTAGCACTATATGTATGTTCTTGCTGTCGTATGCACCAGAATATCCCACTGGGATCAATAAAGTGCATCTGAATCGTAATGAAATACGTTTGCACTTATTATAATCATAATTAAATATGTGTATACTTATTATATCAAGATATAAAAAATGAGGGGGGAGCAATAAAATATGAAAATGTGATCTAACTTTAAGGTTAAAAATGAAAGCCGCTTTAAAATTTGACTGGAGATTTACTCCATGCTTCCTGGGACCATAACTGTCACCAGGGTGGGACTGGGATTAAGAAGCAGCCCTAGACTTTTCCCCTGGGGGGGGTACAGTGCTTACCACAAACCTAAAAGTTCCATTTGCTTCACCAAGATGGACTCACCCACTGTTCCGACCCTCGGGAAGAGTTAGAGTGATGTTCTACTGCCTCGTCCATCTCATTCATCTCCTCCATTGACCGCTGGAGTGCCTCTCGTACAACCATGCCACCACGATGACCTATGACAAACATACACCCTGTTATAGTCTCCAATGCACATATCCCTCCATCTACTAACCACTTTTCTTGGACAGAGTCATTCATATATATATATATAGCCTATTAGAACTAGAAATCAGTGTGAACACACCACAGCACACAACACTGAAGTGCGTCCTCTGCATTTAACTCATATGTGACGTTGTGACATAGCAGGGGGCAGCTAATTCAGCGCCCGGGGAGCAGTGCTTGGGGGCGGTACCTTGCTCAGGGTACCTCAGTGATGCCTTGCTGGTCAGGGATTCAAACCTGCACTCTCTCAATTACAAGTGCACTTCCCTAACCATGAAGCCACCACTGCCCACAACGAAAACAGTCTTAGCAAATGAATGATAAACCTAACCCCTACCCAGTACTAACCATAACCATGAGTAACCAAACAAAATATAAGAGTTTTTGCATTTTTAGTTTTTTCATTGCGGTCATGGATTTTTATAAAATAGAGTTTTCCCATAGGTAAAAAAAAAAATAAAATTCATCACGTTATGGGGACATTTGGCCCCCACAAGGTAAGGTATACCTGGACCGACCACACACACACACACACACACACATAGACATGGACAAATTTGTTGTACCCCTTACAGCTCATTGAAACAATGCTTCATTTCTCCTGAAAAGTGATTAAATTAAAAACAATTGTCTAAAGTATACCTGCATGCATTTAGCATGCGATACAGAAAACAATAAAGTTGTGAAAGAAATGATTTGTTGTTTATTTTACAAAGATATGCTAAACTATTATGGACAGATTTGTTGGTACCCCTAAAGAGATTTTATCCTTGCATTATAGTCATGTTACAAACTAAGTGTTTCACCTTATTTTGTATCACAGGTGCCTTCAAGCTTTTCATTGGCCATTTAAAGGGAAAGAACAGGCTACTGTGTTTAGTATCATTGTGTGCACCACACTGAACATGGACCAGAGAAAGCAGGGGAGAGAGCTGTCTGAGGAGCTCAGAAAGAAGATTATAGATAAACATGTTAAAGGTAACGGCTATAAGACCAACTCCAAGCAGCTTCATGGTCCTGGGACCACAGGGTCAATATTATTAAAAAGTATAAGGAATATATAAGGTATAAGGTTCATGGGACTGTAGCCACGTGGACGCAAGAAGAAATGCAACCCCAGGTTGATCAGAAGGATAGTGCTGATGGTAGAAAAAGACTCAAGGAAACCATCCAAAACCATTCTAGCTGAGCTCCAGGGTCAAGATACATCACTTTCTGATCTCACCATCTGTCGCATTTTGAACAATAATGGGCTCCATGGAAGCAGACCCAGGAGGGCTCCACTATGGACAGAAAAACATAAAAAAGCCAGAGTGGAATTTGCCAAAAAGTTTCTGGGAGAATGTCCTTTGGACTGATGAGACAAAACTGGAGCTTTTTAACCAGTCACATCAGCTCCATTCAAGGAAAAATGAAGCTTTAAAAGAAAAGATCACCATACCTACTGTGAAACATGGAGGGGCTCGATTTTGTTTTGGGGCTGCTTTGCTGCATCTGACACGGGGAACCTTGAATCTGTGCAGGACACAATGAAGTCTCAAGACTACCAAGGCATCCTGGAGTGAAACATACTGCCCAGTGTCTGAAAGCTCAGCCTCAGTCGCAGGTCATGGGTCCTCCAACAGGATAATGACCCGTAACGCACAGCTAAAAGCAAAAAATAAAAAAATATTGGACTATTCCAAAATGGCCCTCCATGAGCTTGGGTCTTAATGCTATTGTACGTCTTTGGAAAGATCTGATATATTGTAGTGTGGAGACGTCACCCTTCAAACCTGAGACAGCTTGAGGAGTTTGCTCAGGAAGAGTGGGCCAAACTACCTGCTGGAAAATACAGACGCCTCATTGTGAAGTACAGAGATCACTTGTTGGCAGGTGATTGATGCAAAAGGTGGTGCCACAAAATGTTATATTAAGGGTACCATCTTTTTTGTCTGTGCCATTTTCATTTGTTTAATTATATAAAACATTCAGCTGAATCAATAATCAAAAGCAAAGTCTGATTTGTGTTAAATATGGAATAAACTATAAGGGATGGAATCAAACTTTTGTCAGGTTCAAGATATTTCAGAAAGAGTTGTTCAAGTTTTTGTTTTTTGTGGAAGGGTACCAACAAATTTGTCCGTGTGTGTGTGTGTGTGTGTGTGTGTGTGTGTGTGTGTGCATGAACATAAAAAGCGTACACACAAGCACTGATAGACTCAAATTAGATTACACTTATGCCAATTCATTTGAAAGTGCAAACTGCAAAGTATAGACTGTTTCAAAGTAACAGAATACTAGTAAAATTTGAAATGCTTACAGTACATAATCCCTCCTCCAGGATTGCTTTTTTGTTTACATGTAATTGTCCAAATGTGGACTGCAATCCTAATTTCTGAAGCGAAAATATCAATCTTTGAATATTCCTAACTGGTGTAAATATTGTTTACGATCAGAGGTGGCAATTTCAGGTCCAGAAAGTTAAAATCCAGACCATAATTTACTTTCAACCAACCAGTTGAGCATAAAGAGTCACAGTCACAGAGCACTCAATTGGTTGGTTGAAACTAAATCTTGGTCTGGATTTGTACTTTCTGGACCCAAAATTTCCACCTCTGTTTACGATTAATAGGTTGTTTCTCAGAAACATAACATTGGGATTGATGTTGAACTGATCCCCCATTGCAGAGATGTGAAGCAGCACTGGGGATTAGTTAATAGTGCCATGTGCCTTGTCCCTTAAAACATTTTTTCAAGAAGGGTGACTTATACTTATTTCATAAATATTTCACCAAAACCTGATGTTAGCAGTGTCCATCTCCTCCACAGGCAGAAGACCACGGTAAAACACAGCACCATGACAGCTGCAGCAAGTGGGACGGCAACACCGATGCCTGATGACGACGCTGTGTGACAGATCATACACGTTTTAGTCATATATACTATTAGTATGTACTCGGCTTCCATTAGACTACCCTAAAATCTTTATTAACATGTCACATAAACTAACTTTGAGGTTCATCCCACATGCATGCTATAACGCTAAAGTAGCTAAGTTACATGACTTCAGCCAAAAAACAAAACAAGTTGGTCAAGGTCAAGGAAGTTTATTGTCATTCGCATCCCATGTGCATGAGGTGGAACGATGCGTACACACGGTCCCAGTTAACCCAATAAAACAAGAAAATAATAAACAATAAGTACCATATCAAAGGAGAAAAAAATCCACATGCAAAGGAGGTGGACATTTTTCAGTTGCATTTAACAATCGCAAATGGACTAACAGACCAAAAAAAAAAAAACATGATCTTGTTTTCGCAAAATAAACATGCAGATGCGGATGTGGAAATGACTGATGATTTAACGACTGTATTAATTATAATACAGAACTCTAACTAAAAGAATACAATATGATCATGAAGTTGTTTATGAAAAATAAATCTCTGTAAATCATACAATTTTAAAGAGATATTTCTGTACACACCTTTTATTTGATCATCAGCTTGAATGCTTAAACGTGTCCCTGGTCCAGTGAAGTTTTGTAATATGGGTATCTCACCCTTTATTTCACAGGTGTATAAAGCTACATCTTTCGAAGTGACCCTTAAAATGGTCATATTATAGCAATTACTAGAAATTTCGAATTTATAACCAACTGAATCATTAAAATAATTTGTTTCAGTCTGGTTGTTCGATACAAGACGACTGTCAATTTTAGTTTTGTTAGAGTTTTTAATCCATGTAAGTCGTAGCCGTGTAAAAGATGAATTTTCCTCCCAGCAGCAGGACATGAAAGCTGCGTGTCCCATTGGTACTGCCAACTGGGAAGGACTCTGTATCACTTTCAGAACTTCAATATAACCTGCATGGGAAACCAGACGACAAAGAGGACATGACAACCTTTGCAGCGAGCACTTGAGTAACATCCCCTACCTTACTTGCTACTATTATAAATGGATTTTAAAATAAACGAAAAACCAATGGTAAATTTGGAAAATGAATAAAACAATAAGACTACATAAAATGCTTAACGCCCAAATGAAACCAAAATTGCTTTGTGTGTGTGTGCGTGTGTGTATATATATATTAGGGCTGTCAATAGATCAAATTTTTCTTATCAATATTAGAGTTGGCAAGGCATGATTGCTTTATGCAAATGCATGCATTTATTATTGGAAATCAATTACCAAAAATAAACATCAACAAAGATTGTCCAAAGGTCATCAAAAACCCTTCAAAACTCAAGCCCAACAACAGATTGGCACGTTGACCTGCTAAATTACATATTACTTAGTCATATAACTAAGTATAGATCAGAGGTCAGCAACCGTTTTAAAGCAAAAAGCCATTTTATCCTAAATGTCTGACCCAAGATTTACAAAGAGCCCCAATTAATAGAGGAGAGGGTTTGAGATATGATTTTAATGCGATATGTGTATATATGCATTTAACACAAAAACAAAAGTACTTACAAAAAATAAAGAAAAACAATTTCGGGGGCAAGAAGGTTCTGGTTTCGGTCCTAGGTCCTTTCTATGTGGAGTTTGCACGCTCTCCCGGTTCTGGCCGGGGGTTCTGGTTTCGGTCCTAGGTCCTTTCTATGTGGAGTTTGCACGCTCTCCCGGTTCTCGCCGGGGGCTCTGGTTTCGGTCCTAGGTCCTTTCTATGTGGAGTTTGCACGCTCTCCCGGTTCTCGCCGGGGGCTCTGGTTTCCTCCCACGGTCCAAAAACGTGCAGGATAGGTTGATTGGTGAGTCTAAATTGGCCCTGTAGTTGTGTGAGTGTGTGTATGGCTGTGTGAGTGTGTGCGTCCTGTGGTGTTGTAGGCGGCTGCCCGGGGTTGGTTCCCGTCTGCGCCCGTTGTTCCCGTGATAGTCTCCGGTCCCCCCCCCCCCCCCCCCCCCCCCGCGACCCCAATTGGGATTAAGCAGTTTCAGAAAATGGATAGATGCACACACCACCCGATCTTATATCGTCGATGTGGCAGCATTTTAGCTTTCCGGAAATCACAAACGAAAACAGGGAGAAAAGCACAGACAAGATAAAAACTGTGCAAACATTGTAAAAGACTGATATTAAAGCTGTTAAGGGATGTTAGGATGTAAAGGTATACATGCATGATGTTTATGAATGATTTTTGAATGCTTAATGAATACATTATGAAGGTGCAGTTAATGTGAAGCGTTACCGTTTATTTGAAGATTTTTTTTAATTTACTTATTTTGATTAAGGATTTTTTTTTTGTATTTCGGTTGCACTGTTAAGAAGAGGGCACATTTTGCTCAAGTTACAAAGATAAACAAATACTTTTGAATAAATTTGTCTGCAGGTCATTCTGCAAAAAAATCGCGAGAAAATCGTATCATAAACTCAGAATCGTGAATCGTATTGTCACATCCCTAATTTATGTATGTGTGTGTATGTATATATGTATATATATATTATTTTTTTTGGCTCCATTTAAAAGATCTTTGCCATGCACAATTTCGGAGCTAAGCCTCTGTGGTTGTGATAAGATGGTTGCTGGTTCAAGCCCAGCCTCAGCACATCTACAGGTCCTCGAGCAAGCCCCTTAACCCCCAGCTCCCTGGGTGCTGCTATGGATGGCTGCCCGTCATGGCCTACTTGCTCTCAACTACAGAGAGCAAGTTGGGGAAGGTGTAAAGAGAATTTCCCCATGGGGATCAATAAAGTATCTGTTAATACATACCTTACTTAAGAAGAAAATCACATTTTGGTGCCATTCCTCAATAATACCCGAAATAACTGGCCTTGAACATCACTTGGTTAAATAGTCATGGTGAATTTAACACAGCACCATTTTTGGTTATATCCCAAAAGGAAAACTAAACAACCGCCAATGAAGACACAGGCATCCTTAGTATTTTCGACACATGCTCATGCAGATCTTTTTTGTGTGTTAAAAATCCCCTTCTCAGATCGCAATGCACAGTATTTGGGTCACTTATCTCCTACCTTACTGAGTACTGCGGCAACATTTTCTCCTAAACAAGATTGTATGAAACAAACAACAAAACTGGAAAACAGCTATAGTTACTTGAACAAAAACTCACCCACTCTCCATATCAGAAACAGAATCAGGCGGCCCATCAGGACAGTAGATCGGTCCATGTCTCTCCTTGATCACTGTGCTCTGCTGATTGAGTCTCACCGAGCTCTTCTGCTAGGAAGTGATGATCTCACCCCCACTAAACCACCCATGAGTTTCCCCTTCCAGTTTTTTTTGTTCTGATACCACACACCCTTAGATGTTAAACTCTGCTCCCCTATATTGGTTATTTGTTCCCCCAAACTGACATCATAGGTTGCCCCCTTTACCATACACCACCCACCCATCCATTTTCCATACCCACTAATCTGATGAGGGCTCAGGGGCCTGTGCCGGAAGTTTCAGACACAAGGTCCTTTGCCACATACATTATTGCATAATCAGCTCCTTTCAAAGCTCAAACCTTTTTTTCCTATAGCACTTCTATAACCGTTATATACAACTTTCTAATATTTCTTGAGCCACTGCAGACATGCAGAATGATGTAGTGATATATAAAAGCGGCAATACACACGAGACAGAATTACAGAAAAATTACCGATTGCAGTAACATTAAAGATGTTCTGCTATCTCCAGCATGCACTTGAAAGTCATGCTGTTTACAGGATGTGACTGTGAGAATCAGACCACACCATACACTGATTTGGCATGTCACTTCCTATATACAATGCCCATCCAAAAAAAAAGTCGCCATTTGAATTTATACCAGCAAATACTTAAGAGCCAATGACTGGATCATTATTACAGCTCAGCTACGTTATGCAGCAATAAAGTGAAGTCAGCTGAGTACCTGAATCTACTGAATGGCCAGGTTACACCTCCATCCATCATCAATGGATTTTTTTCTTCCCTGTTGGCATGGGCATATTCCAGGACAAGAATGCCAAGATTCATTGGGTTTGAATTGTCAAAGACTGGTTCAGGGAGCATGAGGAATCATTTTCACGCATGACTTGGTCACCTCAGAGTTATGACCTTAACCTCATTGACGGTCTTTGGGATTTGCTGAAGGAGGCTTTATGGTGTGGTTCAACTCACTTGTCAATACAGGATTTTGGTGAGAAATGAATGCAAATCTGGATGAAAATAAAAGGGTGAGATGTTGCATAAGCCTGTGGAAACAATGCCATGACAAATATGCGCCATAGTCAAAGCTAAAGGCGGTCCAACGAAAAATTCAAATGGCGACTTTTTTTTTTGGACGGGCAGTGTATCAAGAAATATTTAGGCATGACAACCTTGGCTGAAAAGCCATATACGCAAATGAACAATGCTTTGGCATTTCTGCTGTTTGACGGTTAACTCCCACTTTACAATCTACATACAAAATTAACACAATATTGGTGTATACGAGTCTTTTTCATGCAGCACGACACGTAGTGATGTGCATATCGTTTAATTTGCATGAGTGTTCAGTGTGCATGAGCCTTGCAAACAGTGAGATACTGATACTGAGTTGCTGCCGTATATTGAAAATTGGTGCCTTTTCCCTCTCTTGGTTCTTTACTGTAAATTGCAGTGGGTCATGCGGGTTGCAGCGCTCAACAAACAAACCGCTGATTCTTGAAAAACCCTGCAGACAGGGTCCCAAAAAGAGGATGTGTCCGGGGAGACAGATGCATGGTAACTCTACTCAAAATGCAGGCTACAGAACAAGGTCTTCAGGCTGCAGATCTTCAGACTCAAAGATGACAGACAGGTCACCTACAGACTGTAGATATCTTGATCTTTATTATGGTTCTAGGAACTCCACAGACTGATGACTGGGCTTCAGCTTGGACTCACATTTCCCACCAAAAGACCACATGCCATTTTTTTCCTTATTACTACACATTTAGGCATTAACAGTGGAAATAACATCCATCAAAACATCTTATCAGTACAAGGTCAAGGAGGGTCTGGAGATTATCCCATGAATTATGCGGCACCCTAAATGGGATTCTGAGCCATTGCTGGTGAAGGCTCACCACACCCCTGTACTAAATAAGTGGGAAAATGCAGGGATGTTCACACTGTATCACTGTGCCAGTATCAATTACTAATCAATCTCTTCTGAAACTTGCTATCTAGACTGCCACAATATACCCATCAACAGGCTGACCAATTAAGGTACAGAAAAGTTTGTGTGTGAAGATGATTTAACACAATTTCAGAATCAAACCAAATATGAATCGCAGCTAATGTCAGCAAAGACACATTTTTAAATGGGCTAATTAAAAAGAAACATCCGATTTAAAATTTCTTCACAGAAGAATCATTCGGCTGAGTGTTACTTAAAGCTAATGAAGAAGGTCCGAATTTCCTTTGGTGAAATAGTTATTGAGAAATACTCCCTCACTCCACGGAACGAGTGCCCAGCCTCTGAAACACAGAAGCAGAGAGAAATCAGCTTGTGGAAATCTAATATTTGTGTATTCTTTTAGACTGTAATGAAAACGGACTATTCTGATTTAATATGCACAGCAGCCTGTCATGCGTAATGAACTGATACATTACAGATCAATACCAAACCTGTTTTTGCGTGTGCGTCAAAGCAATTGAAATACAGAATAATGACTTAATCTGTAGTTCTTCAGCCTCAGTATCACCTAAGTCCATTTAGTCAATAATCCAATAGCAGTTCATTTTAAATCACAGTGCAACAGAGAGGTCCTGATCAGGTGGCAACTGGCTGAAATGTTGATAATGAACAGGACATATCACGTTAACTGACAGCACTCCTACTCAGTCATGTGGACTTACGGTCTCCTGCGACATCCGTTGCACCACTGCTTGCGTCTTCTGTGGTCTTCCACTTCCATCGCTTGATATCAGACGCGGCCCACGTGCCAGTGAGGGAGCGCTCCTCCACAGACGTCATCTCCCCCAGGCCCTTGAGGACCTCCTGTTTAGGCAGTGAGCATTTTACCAGTGAAAATACTGGTCACCAGCCTTTCCGGAAGTCATCACCTAGACTGCCACAGAACCACACGTGGGCAGTGATGGGTCAGCTTACCTTCAAGTTTATTGTGGCCGGTTTGGACAAAACCGGGTCTTCTCCCACTTCAAACAAGTGCATGATCCTGATTAGGACACGCTTAAAGTCTGGCTGCATCTTCCGGTCCTCATCTGGACGAAGAATAATTTCGTAATTCAGGATGATTATATCAGTATAATCACATCCAGTATAAACCAGCATCTGCAAAGACTGCTCCACGGGGGGGGGGGGGGGGTAAAAAAAGAAGAGAAATATACATATGAAAGCTTTGAGCTGCCCCACCCTGCTGCATGCTCTCCAGGTGCTTGGTGTGGTTGGAGCTGTAATGCCACCCTGGGACGCTCAGGCTAAGCAGATGGAGGTTTGGGGGCAGCACCACCGGCAAGGCTGACATTCTGCTGTGGGACGCTGCAGGAACTCGCCCTCCTTCTGCAGGAAAACACCACAGAACCACAACAGTTACAAAACTGCCTTGGGCAAACTTCTGCTGGGATTAACAGTCTAGTTTCCAATCTTATTTCAAAGATAAAACTAGTCAGATTCCAGACACCACAACTACATTTGTGATGAATCATTTGAAGCAAAAAATGAATAAAGATTAAAACGATAACAGCGGCAGTACAGCTAAAAGATCTAGGTCATTAAATGTCAATTATACATTAGGAAATTTAACATTGTATAAAATGAGGTCGGATGGCTGATTGGTATGCGATTTCACGTACTATAAACAAAAGGCATTGAAGTGCTGCACTTTGCTGATCCGAAAAGCTGCCTTAGGTTCTTGCTGTGTCTGAAAGGTACAGTTCCTGCTGCAATGCTGCATACGTGTAACTGGTCATTCATTGGAAGCTCAGCCTTGCTACAAGTATGCCTAACTGATTTCTCGATAGTCGTATGGTTGTAATGTGCTATTTCAGCACTTGTGTATTGCGTCTGCGAAATAAAATACATGTAAGCAAAAGGGAATTGTGAACTTACTGGTCGAAGAGGTGCACATGACTACAGGGCGATGTTGGAGAGCAAGCGCCCCCTTTTGGTAAAGTTCAGACATGGCAGCCCTTGTACCGAGCATCATCCACAGCACGGGCTGCACCACTGAGGTGTCGTTCAGTGTGAGGTTGTAGCCCAGGTTCCACTCCTGGTTGTTCCACAGTCGCCGGTGAAGCATTACCTGCCACTCAGAACAGACAGAGTCAGACGGCCGCCTTCAGGACCGCCAGTACGAACTGCCCCTCCCCTGCTTCTCGCCCACCTCCAGCTGCCCCTCGGACTGGCCGGACACTCCATGGGCTCGCTCACTGAGGAACACCAGCCTGGTGAGCTCATCCTCCAGGTACGCCATCCGCACCATGGGGTAGAAGTTCTTCAACAACAAACCCAACACAAAAAAACGACAGACATACTGCAGTTTTTTTTTTTTTTTTTAAATCAATTAACAACAAAAACATAAAAAGTTAAAGGTCTACGCTGAACACCCTGCTCTAAAATGGATGTTTACTTTTTCACAAGAGAATCTGCCAAGTCAGTTAAAAATCAGTTTTAATAATACACAAGTGACTAAATCAGACTGGTTCCTCTGATCCTCGCTAGTACGCTGGTGTACAGCCAGGCTGTGATATAATTTAATTTGGCCTTTATTGAGCTGTTGGCTGAATTATAATGTGTGATACATTACTTGAGCATATACCACCAAAAGTGAATCTTGATAAGAAATGTTACATGAATGGTGGTATAGAATGTGACCTTCCATTTATCTGTGATTAATTGATGGTAACCCTGGCAGTATTCATTTTAAGGTGCAAAACCAATTACATTTTGGAACTAACAGAACAATATTTGGAAAACTAAACTGAATCATCGGCAGCCACATTCTGTGTAATGTGTTATCAATTAAAATCTCTGAAATTTAAGCCATTCTTTCAACAAACAGGTGATATGTTGGTTTGCAAGAGTGGGCAACATCCATCCACCTTCTAACGGCCAACCAATGATGCCCCCCCAAGAGAAAAAAAAAACATCTCTCTGTTTCTACATACTCTGGCGACAGTGTTATTGGTGAAAGTTCTGTGCAGCCTCTTCTGCATCTGGTACCCATTATTGTCAGTGAAGATGGTCTTGTTGTTGCGGAGGTCAGTGGTGGTCCTCAGGACAGCCTCCCTGTTCACCACCAGGGGGCCTACTCTATAGCTCTGCTCAATTCTGTGACAAGGCATCATGCCCTTGAAGCCCACAGGCACTCGGGTGTACACAGCATACACGTAATCCTCCTCCTTCTCCTCTCTAGGAGGACACAAAAATATAAAGTGAACTACAGCGAATGGGGCTATTAATACAGAGGATAACATTATATAGCCCCTAAATTCAGCAAGACTTATTTACTTCTGAGCTTCCTGCCTTCCGCGTTTTAATTTGACTGCAGCCTTAAGATGTTTTTTAAAGCAACACTTCCTTAGTATACATATAGATTTTATTCTTACCTAAAAAAACACAGGAAAATATAATTTCATGCAATTTGGTGTTGGAAAAATACTGAAATTCTTCACTACAGCTAATGATATGGTGCATGGACAATTAAATCATTTTGCTTTTACACCTCTGATTGGAACACATACGTTGTAAACTTTAAACACAGAGATGTATCTTTATCTTGGAAAAGGGTCAAGTTCTCTGTGCTTT